GTTAGCATGAATTTTGCTATTCATCTTTATATTGTGCAATGCTAGTTTTAAATGCAAGTATAAGAGCATTTAGTGGGTATGGGGAATCACTGAAATTACATAATTGGCATTTTATAGCTTGCATATGTGTATGTATTTCATTCATACCAGAAGAGTAGAAATAACACACAAAACTAATTCAACTGTTTTATTTTATCTCTTGATATGCATTCTATTAAATTTCCTACCTTTGCATTATTGATGAGTAAGGAAGGACTGAAATGAAAAGGAACTGTGGGTGGCCCTATCTTTCCCTTTCCTTCTATGCCATCAGTTTGAATGTTAAGTGGCAAACTAACACAAGGCAGTAACATGAGTAAGAAAGGATATGATCAGGTTACTCGGTTGCTTGTATTTCTTAGAATGCCATTGCTTTGTTTCTATATTCTAATCAAGTTCTGGAGCAATGGAAAGGGTGGCATCTCGGGGGTGTCAGAGCCCTCATTATTCAGTCATAGATGTGACAGGCTTACCTTGTACTTGCTTTGAGTCTCACTGAACTCCCAGAATTCTGGGCTGGCAGGCACTGCAAATGCTGTATGTGAATGGTGCAGCCAGGAATGGTGAATATGTATGCTGTATGTATCTCCTCTGCTCATGTGTTTGCTCCGATGTCTCTTTCTACTTCACTTACAAAATATAAGTTCAAAGATAAAATTATTAAGAATGTTAATATGGTGAAAGAAGAGTATTAAGCCAAGTGCAGGACCCTCCTAAATGTGGGGTCCTGTGAGAACTCACAGAATGCATGCGCTTGAAACCAGCCCTGATTACAGTTGAGGAACACTGAGCTCGTAGAATCTACTGCCTTTAAAACAAACAGTAAGCAAGGCTTCTCTTTGTTCTAGAAGGAAAAATTACCTCTTCCTTAAAGATTGCTTGCTGCAAATGAAACCCTGAGAAATGGCCTAGATAGAGAGCTGTCAGGATATTGCATTCTTGGCACCACCAGTAAGAATATGCAGGGACCCCATGTCCCACTGGAGATTGCCTTTCTCAACAAAAGTCATGAAGGCAAAGATTTTTCTATGTTTCAACAGGACAAAATTGAAATTTTTGTTTTAGAAATCCTGTGGTTACTGTAGACCTTTTATACCTCCTGCTCATCGTGTTCATGGTTGGTATAAATAGTAATTAAATTTTATGCATACCTATTGACTTGTCTATCCCATTTGCTGCTTGGATGAAAGCTTTGGGGAGAGTATGGAGGATGAGGTATCTTTCCTTTGTGTGAAAATGAAGATTCTGGCACATATGTGAGTCCCCTTACAGAGAGTGTTAATATGTATAGGCAACTGCTTCTCAGCTTATTTTGCAGCTTGATTTACAGACTGAATCTTGGGTCTTGAAGGAGCAGATATGCATTCCCGAGTTATTTATTGAACAATATTTTATGCCATCCTTTTATATGCCAGGCACTAGACTAAGTTCTGTGGATATAATGGTCATCTTGATAGACAGTTTCTGCTTACAAAGAGTTCACATTCCAATCGGTAAAGAAGTTAAGTAATAGAGAAATAAATAAACAAAAGCATGCTGTTAATTTATGAGGGAAATTAAAAATGTGCTGTACTATTATAGAAAATAATTGGATAAGAGGACTGACTTTAGAGGGTGGCCAGGGTAGTTTTCTCTGAAGAGATAGTACATCTAACACGTGCAAGATAAAGGCCAAGGGAAGAGCATTCCAGACAAAGGGAACTGCAGGTGCAATGATCCTGATTCAGAAGGAGATTATCCGATTCTAAGAATTGCTAAAAAGTCAGTCTGGCTGGAGCATGGTAAATGAAGGAGAGAGAAGAGAAAAGGTGGAACAAGACATCAGGGTCTCCACAAAAACTCTCCCTGAGAAAGGGAACCACTCATACACTGTTGGTGGGAATGTAAATTAGTACAGCCACTATGGAAAACAGTATGGAAGTTCCTCAGAAAACTAAAAATGAAACTACCATGTGATCCAGCAATCCCACTGCTGCAAAATCAATATATCAAAGAGGTATCGGCATCCCCTGTTTATTGCGGCACTATCCACAGTAGCCAAGCTACGGAATCAACCTAAGTGTCCATCAGTGGATGAATGGATAAAGAAAACATGGTGTATAAATACACAATGAAATATTATTCAGCCATAAAAAAGAATGAAATCCTGTCATTTGCAGCAACACAGACAGAACTGGAGGTCATTATGTTAAGTAAAATTAGCCAGGAACAGAAAGACAAATATTGCATGTTCCACTCATATGCGGGAGGTAAAAAAGTGGATGTCATGGAGATAGAGAGTAGATTGGTGGTTACGAGAGGCTGGGGAGGGTAAGGGGAAAGGGGATGAAGAGAGGTTGGTGAATGGGTACAAAAGAACAGTTAGATAGAAGAAATAAGATCTAGTGTTTGATAATACAGTAGCATGACTATAGTTAACAATATTTTATTGTATATTTCAAAATAGCTAGAAGAGAAGAATTTGAATGTTCCCAACATAAAGAAATGATAAATGTTTGAGGTGATGTGTAACCCCATTACCCTGATTTGATCATTAAACATTGTATGCATGTATCAAAATATCACATGTACCCCCAAAATATATACTACTATGCATCAATTAAAAATTCTACTCTGAATTATAATCCTCCTCCAACAAAAATAACTCACCTTGGATCTTATTACAGAGTTATCCTTTGTAGTGGCTCTGTTGTCTCTGTCTCTCCCTCTCTCCCCACCTTCCTCCAGTTCCCTCCTCCCTCTCTCCCTCTCTTAGCCTCCAGCTTAGGCAGCTCTCTCTTTGACCTTCAGGACCACCAGTATCCACAGTGATTCCCCAACCTTTTTGGCACCAGGGACCGGTTTCATGGAAGACAATTTTTGCACGGATGTGGGGTTAGGGGTGGGGCTCAGGTGGTGATACATGCGGGTTCCTAATAGGCCGTGGACTGGTACCCTGGTACCGGGCTGGTAGGGACCGCAGCAATACTAGAGGACATGGAATCACTAAGGCTGCTGCCGCAGCGTATATACTGTATCTGCAGACCAGATAGTATTACGAACTCTGAACTGGAGGGGCTGGCATTCAGGAGTCTTTCTGGAGATTCTTGTTCAGTGGTTACGTGTGTCTGAACACTGCTATAAAGCTTTGGCATGTGTCTCAGCTTGACTTAAAATTTCCTACAGATTTAAAGTGAGAAGGAGCGAGTGTATTGCAAATTGCCGAAATGGATAGAGATGTGGGAAAGCATATGCCAAGAAAATACTTTCTTGGTCAAGATAGTGAAGCACTGTAAGAAGATAAATGGGAGAACAGTTATATGACCATTTTAGAAAGGATATTATTTTGTATGATGCAAAAGATCACATTTCTTTTAAGAACAATAATCTAGATGAGATAATTTTGGTAATAATTTTATAACATGGTTCTGTCATGTCCTCCCTGATTCCATTTTTTCATCTTATAAACACTCCCTTTCTTTGACAGGAATCATTTATCCTGTCTTTTGTTGACCTAATTTTGTGGCTAATTGCTACTTCGAACCTAAAATGCTGCTGCTTTCTGAGTCTAAAGTGCTGTCAGTTACACATCACTGTAAAAACCTGCAGTGAAGACTGGCCGTCACTTCCAGTAACAT